AGCCTGCATGATGGTGTTACACATAGCAGGTGTTAGACAAATATTTGTTGAATGCTGGAAGAATGAGCAAGATAATTGAACAAATGTCTGATGCTTCCGTGCCAAAGAAACTTCTCACTTAATCCACACTGAAATTTCAGAAGGAAAAAACTGCTTTGCAAGCCCAGAGCCCTCTGTTTTTATTACTTGCTAACCCCTCAAGTGTAAATAAATAGAGAAGCCTTCCCTAGCAAGGAAAGTAGTCTGATAAATGCACCCCAAGATTAAAACCTCAATTACTTTGTCAATCCATCAACCTCCCCAAACGTGGACTGACTCTAAACAAATGCATGCAGTCATTTTTCTATTTTCTGGGTCATCACACTAAGAGGGTGCAGTTATTCTATCCTAGCACGTCCTGCTCCTCTCTCCCCTGATGAGTCCACACAGGCATGATCCACTCACTGACACACCTCCATTGCAGTTCAGCATCTTCACCATTCCCATTGCCCAGTTCACAGAAAGCTAACGACTGGCACATCCTCTCAGGAGAGTTACATTGTCCCAATAACAGCATGCAAATGCACTTAATCAAAGCCTTTTTTAGAGCTGTGAAAAAGGAATAGGATGAGGTATACATAGATGCCCACTCGATGTGTACCAGACATCCACAGTTATAAGAAACCTTTACTTTTAATATTACAGATTTACTGTTTTTTTTATAAAAAGTCATTTTAGACATAAAATATGAAACTTCCTAAATATCAGATTTATAGATCTGCAGCAGTTAGGTCCAAATTTAACACAGTCGAAAAACACAGGAGAATGAAGCATTCTCAAAGTAGGTATGTGTTTTTATATCACAGGATACTTCTTAATCTATGGGATGACTATAAAATTAACCATATCATTCATACATGAAATTGTGTAATACAACATTGCTAACAATACAACCCAGGATAATATCTGAATGCATACTCTGACTCTTACGCTGAAAAATGTAATTCTTAGTATAACGTTGAAGCAACTTCCCCATTCCTAATAGAGAAAACCAACTGATATGAAACAAACCATAAATCAACAAAAAAAGTGGGTTTGGCATAGTTTGACATCATGAGAATGATAATGGCATACAGTTAGTTGTAAAAATATAATCTATTGTAACATAAAAACTCAGCAATGGAAATAAAACTCTACAATATGATACTGTATACTACATTTGGTATTTATTTACCTTAAATATACATTTGGTATTTATTTACCTTAAATATGTATTTACAGCGCTAACATCATAATCTCAGAGTAGCTATCAAATCAGTTTCTATAAAGCTCCAGACTATATTTAACTTTTTAAAAATGTGGTTAAAAATAACCTGATACAGGAAGATAAAGAGAACAAAACTATGAACAAGAGCACTGACTTAAAAAGCAAGTAAAAAGAAAAATTAAAATGTATCATTGTTGTAATTCTTAGTAGATTGTTTGCTTTTAGCTATCACACAAAAGGTTTGGCACTTAACAATAAAGAAAGTCAACTTCAACATACAGAAAACATGGGCCTGACGCAGTGTCCTAGCGGCTACAATCCTCACCTTGCACGCACCAGGGTCCCTTAAGGGCACTGTTCTAATCCTGGTGACTGCACTTCCCATCCAGCTCCCTGCCTGTGGCCTTGGGAAGCAGTTGAGAACGGCCCAAAGCCTTGGGACCCTGCACCTGCGTGGGAGACCCGGAAGAGGCTCCTGGCTACGGATTGGTGCAGCTCTGGCTATTGTGGCCACTTGTGGATGGAAGATCTTCCTCTCTGCCTCTCCTCCTCTCTGTATATCTCCCCTCCCCCCCCAAAAAATAAAACAAATCTTTTAAAAATACATAGAAAATGTATGACAAAGAGAAAATTCCTAGTCATGTTTACACTAAGAAAACCACTCTTAGAACACTGCCAGTCTGCACCACACTTAATTAAACATAGTTTCTGATTGCTCCTTAATTTGATCTTTATCACTTTTTCACAAGAAAAGATAATTCCTAGAAAGAATCAATCCTTTCCTGTAATCCTTCAGCTCCTGCGGTAATTAGCATCGTGTTTAGCATACTCCAGAGCTCACAAAAATTGTAATGACTAAAATGTGCTTAATGAGGTGGCAGGCATTGTGGCATAGCAAATTAAGCTACCACTTGGGATGCCTGCATCTCTCCTCTGACATCAGAGTGGGGGTTACAGTCCCTGCACTTCCAACTGCATTTTCTGCTCGAAGACCTGTAAGAGTAGCAGATGATGGCCAAGTCCTTGGTTCTTGCCACCCACATTGCAGTCATCGATAAAGTTCCTTGCTCCTGGCCCAGCCTCAACTACTATGTGCATCTGTGGAATGGAATTGGGTATGGAAGAATTCTCTCTGAAAATAAATCTTGTGTATTTTCCACAAACTTTTTAAAATTAGTAGTAGACAAATAAATACCAGCATTTATGTTTTGGTACTGTGGCAAAAAAAAAAAAAAACACATGGAATAACTACGTATTTTCAGAAATCTCATCTGCACCCATGCCCATGAACTTTTACAGAAATTACTAATCACTGGCATGCTAATAACCCAAACTATTCACAGGTTCAAACGATGAAACGTTCCTGGTTTGGAAATAATGATCCCACGGGTACACCTTCTGAAACAATCAGTCATCAGACACACTGGACAAAACATCTTAATTTGTAACAGAGATCTTAAAATACAGAGGCCTGAGATAATCACTCTGAATTATATTAGTCAACAGAAATAGAATCAGTTGAGGCAGAACATTTAAATGCCCCACTTAATACTCCTCAATTAAGAACATTCGTTGTTAGTCACTCTCCCCTTGATTCCTTCAATTATCGGACTGTTTCAGGATACCCCTGAGCTTTCATTTTTTATTATTATTTTTTAATGACCTCTGATAGGAAGCCAACACTCCTATATTTTTAGTGAAACAAACTTAGTCGGAGAAGGTAGTATACAGTATCATATTGGAGAAAATGGGTGCAGATATTTGGCTTAGCAGTTGAGAGGTCTGTACCCCCATATTGGTTTCCTTGGGTTTGGGTCCTGGTCCTGTTCTGCAATCCAGTTTTCTGCTAATGCACACCCTGGGACACAGGGACGATGGCTCAAGTGGCCGAGTTTCTGTTAACCACATGGGACTCCTGGTTTCTGTTACACATTCCTGGCTTGGGTCTGGCCCAGTTCCAGATCTTTGTGACTATATATTCCAAAGGGAAGTTTTAATTCTCTCTTGTACGCATGCACTTTCTCTCTCTTTCCCCTTTCTCTTTCTTTTGTTTCCCTCTCCTCTCTTAATGTACGTCTGCTTCTAAAATTAAACAAAGTTAAAAACCCTAATAAAATGACAATGGGCTAAGCAGAAAGGATCCCTCTGTGTCTTTTATGGGGAGAAGCGTTTTGGTGTTGACTCAAAAAGATTCTGTGATAGTTCAGTTTTTTCATAAAGTTAATTTCTCTAAGTCAGACTTCACTCAAGCCCTCAATATTGATATCAGCCGCCTAATGTGGAAAATTACAAATCAAATAAGAATACAAGGAATGAGGCAAGTAAGAGTGTACTTCAGCAGAGAAAGCAACAGTGACTAAATTACATCTCCTCTCTATCGCCACAGCCCTAGCTTCCCGGGGACACATTCATCCCTCTCAGGCTGGACAACCATGAGGCAGCAGAAAAATCAAAGGCCTTTGGGATGAGAAACCCTATGCAGGGAAGCGCAGCGGCAGAAGGAGCACAGCTGGATTCCTTTTCCCTGGCCTTAGGGCTAACAAGAGCAGAGGCAGGAACTAACATCTGGAAAACCAGTCCAAGTGCACCCTGATTCTAAGGCAGTCACATCTGAAAACACACACAAAACAGTAAACAGTAAACTGAAAACAGAAAGAAGGGACTGTGTGAGCTGTGGATAACTTAACAAGGATTGGGAAGATTTTGAAGTCTGACAAAGCCCTGGTACTAATGGCAGAGTACTCTCCTGTCTGAAGTTTATAAGGAGTTCAACTCAACGTCAGAAGGGAAAGAAAGGGCAAAGAAGTGGTGGGCATTGCACCTGTTAAAGCTAAATAAGGGCAATACTGAATTCTTCATGTAGAAAAGCTATATTTGCAAGATCATTTAGTTATTTATTATGCAACTATTGCTGCATGTACATTAACCAAAAAACTTCACAATTGTTAAAAATAACAAAAACTGTGTTTTCTCTGAAATCTGAATCTGAACATTTTTTCACAGACTGAATACTGAAAGAAACAAAGCACCCCCTACTACATCAGGAATCCACAAATTTAAAATTCCGAAGTGATTCCTGACATCATAGCTGGCAAGGGGGTCTATTAAAATGATCAAGCTCCCACCTCACCAGAATGTGACAGTCACCACCTGCCTACTCTTTTTCCAAAAAGAAAGTAGAATTCTTCCTGGTGTCCGGTGGAACAAATGTGTTTCACCCATCAGAACAGGTATTAATCATATCTACAGTGGAAAAAATATGCACCCTAACTCATCACCATTTTTATTTTCAGAATGTATTCAATATAAGAAGGCATCCTCCTAGGTTTTCCAGGAGCCAAGGAAGTTGCTTTTGCTGACAAAAGTCAGGTCACCACCAAAGTCTGCAGTGGCAGAGGAAGACTTGTTTCTTAGGTACCCTAACTGGGGCTGAGCCCATTAGACACATGTGCCAGAAGATACATCCATCTACTTCCCTTATCTGTTGCTTAGGAAAGGATCAGCTGGTGAATACCCATTCATCCTGCTAGGGTGTACCCAAAGATAAAGAAGCAAACTTTAATTAGTCTTGAAAGCGAGAGATGCGAAGTTAAAACTCTTGTAATTGGTACTCATGATGTTCCATTCTCACTAGTTCATCAATTCTTGCCACAAAGACTTCCGTCCTCATCCATTCAACCAGCAAACATTTACTATGATAAAGATCCATATGCATCCTTTATTTTAAAAAGAAAACTTAAAACTGAAACCAAACCTGATGGCATCCATGGATCAGAAGTTGGTCTGGTCAAGGTGTTAACCTGCTCCCAATTGAAGTCATCATCTTCAGCTTGACTGTAGCCACAGGTGCTATATGGCTCATCAAAGAGGCAACCACCTAAAGTGTGAAAGAACAAAAAGGAAGACACATGATACTAGGTCTCTGAAGCAAATCATGATGACTATAGGAAACCACACTGTTATCCCCACTGGATTTGACCTTTTTGTCCCCAAACTAGGGATTCTCCCCCACTTCCCTATGCTAAGTGATGCTGAGTAGTAATCATGTCTTATCCATGCTGCTGTGATTACATCACTCTCCAAAAGGAATAGCACCTGGCTGGAAGACAATCAAAAGTCCAAGTATAAAATTCATGTTTTCAGATGATTAGCAGTATGGAAAACAGATCATGCATTCAAAACTTTAACAGAATTGCCCTAAGTGCTCAATTTGTATTCAATCGGGGAAAAAATTATAATTTGCCTCAGAACAGAACATTTTTCACCACAATTCTGGAAACATGGGAAAAGGCAAGATGCAACAAAACCATGGGCACAGCTGGCAAAATATTTTCCATGGAAGTAGTCTAAACGTAACAGAAATCAGCTTCTGTTTATTACTTTGTAGATCTGAAGTCTTAAAATTTAAAAAGATTACAAGTTCACTTACACTTCAGACAAGCTTCCAAGGCCAAAGTAAGTTCAAAACTCAACAGGTGGTAAATATTGGATTAATTTTAATAACACAAACAAAGCTACTTAAATTAGACGCAAAGAATGCTAGACAACGTAGTGGATGCACAACAAGTCAGCTGGTTTAGCCCCAACGGCACTGAGTACATTGAGGAGTTTAGGCCCTCCCCAGTATTCTCCTAAACGTTTCCTGGTATTTGAATTATTACAGTAGCAGACCTTTTTCCTAATGTTTCCTACAAGAAAAATGAGCATTACAGGATCATACTAACTGTCATGGAAAATGCATTCATTACTCTTTTCATCAATATTAACTCAAATATTCATTATCATTGCTTGTCCATGATGAGAAATCTGTGTTCTGATTAAGAAAAAGCATGAATTTAAGATATTATTACACTATGTCTACATTTGTATCCCTATTGGTGGTAAGACAGAAAGTTGCTATTGTTCAACTTTAGCAGGAAAACACATGAGTTTATGTGACTCAACTTCCCATCTAAATACTTAAGTCAATTCTTCAAGGCAGCCAGGCTCTGAACACATGAAGCACTCAGAAAGCTGTAGAGTAGCCCTACTACAGAGAAAATCCCTTTTCAAAAGGCCCAGGGCAGGTATTTTATCTAGTGGTTAATACACCCAAGTCCCTAGGTTCAAGTACCACCTCTGACTACTGACGCCAACTGTGCAGACCGCTGAGATACAGTAGGTGACGAATCAGCTAACAGTATTTTCTTGCCATCCTAGTACGAGCCCCAGACTGGGCGGCCAGCTCCCCGGGTTAGCCTGACTCAGCTATGGATGTTGCGAGCGTTTGGGGAATGAACAAGTGCTCTCTCTCTCTAAAAAAAGAAGTTCATACCCTGTTTCTTGAATTGCAGAGCTCTGTCCCTGAGGAATGTATTTTTGAAAATCTCAGCTCTAAAAAGTTGATTATTTGGAAAGAATTGTCACATTGTGCAAGCTTTCCTGCTTCTGAACCTGCCTTGCTCCCCTCAGTTCCTCCTGTGAGAAGGTTCTCAGACCTCTCATTACCCCAGCAGCTGCTCCAGACCGCCCCTCCTGAAGAGCAACAGCAGCAAAGACTTCCTTCTCCTGGCATGGTTCTGCTTCCCTCAGAGCTGCTGTGAGCCTGAAATTTCTGCCTCTGTAATGAGGCAAGAGACTTTTTGAATTCCAGTTCCAGACTGAATCCCATCAGGTGGCTTTCAGAGAGCCCCACTCCAGACTGTGCAGAGCACTGGGGATCCTGATCCTCTCCATCCTGCCAGGGTGAGCAGCCCTGATCCCTAGCACCCCCAAAGCAGAAACTTCCTGGGCACCCAAGAGATGCCACAAGTGGAAAACCCACCCCCAACATCATGGATGGGTCGCAATCAAACATACTCATGCTACAAATATTACATAAATCTGTCTTATTTGGACTATGAAACACCAATGAATTTCATGTTCAGCCTTGGGTCTTGTCCTCAAGATTTCTGTATCTCTCTCTCTTCGTCATTTTTATCTCTCTCTCGCACTCACCCTTCCTCCCTCTCCATTTCCTTCCCCCTCTCTAAAATACAAAAAGGATCTGAAATCTGAAACACAATATGATCCAGTATTTTGGATCAAGTACACTCAGTGTGTACCTGTAAATGTGATGAGTGTTCTGTGGTCTCCAAGTCACTGACAAAGACAGATAAACGGATTCTAGACAAAGAAGTCAGACCAATTGCAACTCCAGCTTCCTAAACTCTGTCTCCATTGTTAGCTCCGGGCATGAGAATGAAATTAGTGGCCCATGACACACAGTTCTTTCACAATTTTAACAGCACTGGTCTCATCTATCCATTCCACTGGGATGAACAAACTCATTATAAAAGGTACAGCATTAACTCGGTGTTTCACCTTGACAACAATCTTTTATACTTCTCTCTGAGGTTTAACAAGTTTGGCAACAGAGTGGATTTGCTTAAAGCACGTAATTCTAACAACTCTCCAATTTAGGCTGAAAAATGCTAGCAGACTACACAAACATTTGTGAGAAAAATTTTCCCTCGGTTGCAAATCCTAATTTTGAGGTAGAAAATAACTTCAGTACTGCAAGAACAAGCCCCAACAGCTGTAGTACGAATGATACTCACAAGGAAGACCCACCCACCAGACAGACAAGGGGTTCCCAATGGAAGCACGGACAGCTCTCTAATGAAACGCAAGTCCTGTGTGCAACCTTATCAGCGAGAAAGAGGGACAGGCACCCACGGAGCAACTCCAGGCTGGGGAAAGGTCAGACTGGTTTACAAAACTAAGATGGAACCAACTATAAAGGCAGGCGTGACTGAGCGGGAAGCCCAAAGACTAATACAATGATGGTGTGAGGGAATCATTCTCCCATTACGCAAAGCTGTTTCAGCCATTTGAAAAGAAACGTAAGAAGTAAATCAGAGCTCTTTCTGGGCTTGTGTGTGAGCTGAAGCCACTGGACAATGGAACGGACTACGAATCGCGTACTGCCCCAGGATATATCTCACTGCACACTAATCTTTAAATCTGCCTCTGGCCTTGATCCAACAGATGTGGGACTCCCAAAACAACAAAGAGAGTTTGTTAAGCTAAAACAAGATGAGACAAAAGCAAAGACCAACAGAACTGAAATATCCAATTACGGGGAGAACAAAAAGTATTTGTTAAGGCAGTTTTACATAGTATTGAAATGTTTGGGGCCCATGGTCATACAACCCGGGTATATCTTCATGTAAACTGCATCTGGAAGTCCACAGGCAGCATAGGAATTCTGTTGCAAAATAGTACTGATTACCACGGTAGCTTGGTTACATTGGTATTTCCTAGAGCTGGTACAAGCTGACAGTCAATGAATGCTTTTAAAAGGAATGAATAATCAATTCTCCACATGTCTAGGCAGAATCTTAGTGTACTAATATCTGGAAGGCTTTTAAGTGAACACAATTTCATAAACATGTCAACAAGGGATATAAAGTCTGAATACATCCACCAATTCACCCTGTTCTGTCCCAGAGAATCCCAAGATCAGGCGATCGCAAACATCACCAAATCACCAAACATGTTCATTTCTATTACAGTTGAAAACTGTCAGGCAGTTATATGTTAATGAAGTCTCCACAAATTACAGTTTTCAAACTCTTTTTGTTTTTGGGGGGCAATGATTAGAGGGTAAGGCTATCTCCCTATAAAGGCCACTGTTGATTCATGAAAATAAAATATTATCTTTTGCATATTAGAGGGAATTGATCATTTCTTTCTTTGGAATAGCAGAAAACACTCAGGTGACTGAAAATAGTATGAAATCAATAAAATATAAGCTAGAAAGGATAAGATAAACTACTATTACCCCTAAACAAGCCTTATAAAAGTTCTCCTGCTACCTGCCACTCAAGTTCAAGGCCTGGGGGAAACACAAGGTCCCAAAGATTGGCAAGGATTTGAGCTGACCACAGAAAGTCATACTGGGACGTTTAATTCTGACAGCAACCCACACCGATGACATCCTGACTCTGCACACATATTATGCACATTTGGGAAACAAAATTCCTCCCTACTGAGCTAAATCAGTATTTTTCATTCTGTTCTATTTGATTTTGCCAAAGGCAGCTCTAGATCACTAAATTGACTCCGGCTGCCACCTGGAGCCTCCAGGATTGTGGCGTTACAGCCATTTCCTGCAGTCACTTGTTTAGCTTTTGGTTTCAGCAGTACTGGGTGAGAGCACTGTTTAAATAGAGAGCAACCTGTGGTCTAGAATGTTCTCTGATACTAACAGCTAGCATTTCCTGTCCTGGATGATGTGGTCAGTCACATTTTGTCTGGGGGAATGTAGAGTCACAATTTCCTCCACTCCTCAAAACCACGATAAGACTTTCAGCTCAATATATCTAACTCAAAGAACTTGTTACATCAAGAAGTGAAATAAGCTGGTCATAAAAAGACCAGCATCATATATTTTCTCTGATATTGTGGTAGTTAATATAGAACACAAAAATATTACAGAGGAAAAAAAAAGGAAAGGAAAGAAGGAGGGGATTGTGGAATGGAAAGAGGGAAATAGTATGGTCACCGAGAATTGTACCTATAAAATGCATGAAATTTGCCCTCTCTGTATTAATAATTTTTTAAGAATATAAGAAATGTTCTTATATTATTTCACTTAATTTTCTTTAAGATTGCAGCAGTAAGCCTCCAAATCCCCGTGCCATGTCTCTCAGGTCTGAATCCACATACTGTTTACTCTGTGACAATATGTTTAGACCCTTGAAGTAACTCAGAATCTGCAGTAGGGAGAAGAAATAGACAGGCCGGACACTCAGTAACACCCAAGACAGGGCTCTCCCAGGGCCTATCTCTTCCTGACAAAATGTCTGCCTCATACACGCCCACAGATCACAAATTTCCATAAGAAACTTCTAG